TATATAGGACCCGACCCCGCCGTGGGAGCGCTACTGCGCTCCCAGTGCCGCACTCTCCCGAGTGCACCACGGGCTCGGAAAACTTTCTAGTTACACAACATCATAGAAATTTTTTCAGCCTGAATTCGTATGACGGTTCAATTTGATATTTTAAAAAATATTTTGGGTTTTAAAACTTGCATTTTTAAAAACTAAGAAATATTTATTACATTATCTTTTAAACTATCCTAATATATTTTACCACATAGGAATGCTTCTATCATATAGCACAGTTGCTTTTCCAGGAGGCTTCAAAGAATTCATGAGCCCCATGAAATAATACGCTTAAAAATTTTTAATGAATATTCATATGTTCATTTTTTTTTTCTGTAGGAGAGCTGTATGTTTCATCCAATTCTTAATCTTCAAAGGGTTAAGAACTAGCTCTATATAAAATTACGGAATCTTCATTTAAGGAAACTTATGTTTCTCTTGTTCAGTCTGCCACTACCATGTCTGGGTCTGATGGCTTTCCAGCCTCAGTTTGAACAGTTGTTTTCTACTTTGGAAGCCAGTAGTTTATTACTTCACTACTTTGTCAGGCAGCCTGTCCCCTTGTCGTACTGTTTTAACTGTTAAGCAGTTCTCCCTTAAATATACCAAAAGAATTTTCTACATGAAAGCTCTTCTACAAAGGAACACGTTGCCTCAATGAAAAAACACTACATTAATGTTCTCCAGGTGTAAACTCTCTTCTCCCTAACTGGCCACTTCTTTTTCTTTCTACCCCACCTCCCCCAAACATCTAACAGCCTGCTCAGATACAGATGGAGTCCTTGGCTCGGAAGAGCTGGGTGCTTATTTTCTCCGATGTTGAATCCTCTGCCCCAATTCCTTGCCTAGAATAAGGCCATCAGACATTGGAGTGTTGACACTGTGCCTCATTTGGATGCCTTGTATTTTTCTCATGTGGTTTGTACTTGTCATATTGAAATTGTCTTGAAAATCATGGCGATCAAATACTTACCAAGGGATCTGCCATGCTGCATGATCATGCTTGAGTTGAGTGAGGCTGGGAGAGAGTAGGCTGAAGGGGAAAACGGCCTTTGGTAGTAACTCATGGGGCTCACAGCACCTCCAGAGTTTCCATTCACTGTGATCTGGCTCTGAGAAAAGTGCAAAAACATCCTGTTAAAGCACATGGTGCCCTGTAAACATCATTCCTTTAGGTGACAATAAAAGACTTTCATTCACATGACAGTAATCAGCTGCCAAGTTTTTATTTATTTTGAAAACTGATGTCAGAGGGGCATGGTACATGTTTTCAGTGTCCTCTCTCTCTTCCTTTATTTCTGAAGTTCACTCTCATAGATCAGAGGGCACATGAGAGGGTTAGAAGAATGGAAGCAGCTGACCAATGAGCATGCCACTCTGCCAAAAGAGGTGCCAAATGGTGTCAGCAGGAGTCAGTACCAAATCAATGTGTAAAGCGAATGTGCCTTAAAACTGTAACTTAACTGGTCAGATCACTGTCATACTGTTCTGCATGTGGGATTTGAAATGAATATTCTTTGACATGAGGAAAGGTGCTTGTTTTCAGACTTAGTCAGGGATATCTTCTAGTGAATGAATGTTTGCAGAGCAAGGTGGTTAACATAAGGAACACAATTATTTGGATTTATAGATCATGAAGCGGCCCATTCTAGAAGAATCAAATTCCTGGTAAAGCATCAGAAAGACATGTTCAAACACTGGCTTCTCCCTATTTCAACCTAATTTAGCACTTTATGGACCTCTGGTTAATAATTTGTTTTGATTGTTTTATATCAGACTATTTTATATCTCCAGTGGTATCTCAAGCTTCTTGTTGGAGATGGTCATATATAAGCATTTTATATTTTTTATAACATGCAACCTGGTGCTAATGACACATTCAATAGATACATATTCTAATTCAATTGAATCAGCTTAGTTCACAGAAGTTGAGCTCAGGACTATTAAGCATGCCGATCTACCCACAGCACAAAACTGAGCATTATGGAGATTACCTAATACATGCAAATGAGACAAAACATTAGTGAGAACACTTAGTTAAAATTATCTTATAGCTAAATACAAACACGCATATGCACATAAATAAAGAACCATAATTTGTGAACTTTTTATACTTATTTTAAAACAAAATAAATTTGTATTATACTAGCTTGAAACAGGGGTGGACAAGTAATTGCATATTTCCACGATTTCACTTTAAAGCAAATGTTTTCAAATGATCTAGAATAAATCTAATTTCATTACTTTATATAGCTATACTGCATATATCCTAAAATCAATAAACATTTCATTACAAGGATTGTGATTATTGATTAAGTACTTCTCTAAACTGTTAGAAAAATCACTGTCATGTCCTAACTAACTATATCTTGAGAATCTTCTTCTGAAGATAACTGGACATTCAGAGAGGTGCAAGGCACTGGCCTGCCCAAATGCTTCAGAGCCTTTATGCAACTCTGATAAGTTACTTGAGAATATTTTTGCCTCCTTGCCCAAATCAAATTTGGGGATCTTTGTAGTATAATCTGAGTACTATTGTCACCACGTGTTATAGTTAATGTTAAAAGCAGGAGATTCTTCTTATTAAAAATCATCAGGTTACTATGTTACTAAACTTGGGAAACTTGCTCTGACTCCCATTTTGATGATTTCAACAATATTGATTAGGGATTAAAAAAGAATAAACACCAAAAGTAGACATACTCTTTTAGTGTGTTATCCCAATCAGGGTTTTACTAATCACATAATGCCATTAGATTTTTAGAAAATATTATTATAGTGAATTAATTATTAGAAAAAATCTTACGGACAACTGATGTGCAATGTTAAACTGATAATTGCAATTAATTTCAGTTACAGGTAGCTCTGATTGTGCCCACAAAACTATATGTGCAACTCTTAGGTTCCTGAAGGATCTTTAAAACAAAAAAATTGAATAGGTTAGTACATAAATTGATATACCCTCACTACTCTTTATTTTTGATCAAAGGTTCTGATAACATTCCTTTAAGTTTTTAAAAGTTAAGAGACATGTGAAGCAGAGTGGGCATGGAGGGGACCCATGCCTACTGAGCTCCTGGTACCAGTGGCTGGTCACCTGTGGCAAGCGGAGGAACTCTCGGTGGGGTCAGCCCTGGAGAAAGAGGCTCCTTCTAAAGCCAGTCTCTGAATAGAATATTTCAATGCAAAATTTTATACCCAGCCATCGAATGAACACTAAATCCCATCCCCCATGAAAGTATCTTTTGTTTTCTGTAATTGTGGTGTCTTAAAGAACATATGGCTTATTATAACATTTCTCTCTGCATGAAATTTACAGATTTGATAGAGCATAAAATATATCTATTTGAAAGAACAAAATCTATATAGCACAAATATACTTTTGGTCTATGACAGTGCTTATATAGAACTTCATCATAATATCAATTTTAGAAAAAAAATTTGCCATTTTTTCCTAAAGTTATATGCCTTTCAAATGGAAGCCATTACCTATATATTATACCCAATTGAGAATCTGTGCCATAAAACTTTGAAGTATTTTTGCCATTTATTAGAGACTGCTTATCATATAGACATATTTAAATGATATAATATGTATGGGAAATATATACTGGTATAAGTGGAAGACAATTGTAGATATACAAAATAAAAAATGTATTTGGAAATTTCTATATTAAAATGGCTCAGCAAAAATAATTCCAAAAACATCATAGGGGTAAATTTCTGTAATATAGATTGAGATTATTTATATCATTCACTCGTATACAACAAATGAATTCAAAAGAGGTAGCTGTTAGAGAAAGAGGAGCAAGAATTAGCATCATGTGGTCAGTAATCACTTATGTGAAAAACAAGGACATATGAACTATGCACATAGGACACACTAATATAAGTCAGTGAGGAAATTTATTATCTACCAGGTATTAATACTGGGTTAAAATAAAAAAAAAAAAGGTTCTCTATAATCTAATCATAACCCTATTATGATGTATACTTATCTAAATTTCTGATAAGTTCTTATTTAAGCAAATCACTTTACAGCTCATTAGCTGCAGTAAGACAGTTAATCATAAGTAAACCATTTTAGAATAACCATAAGTAACTCTAAAATGAATGAAGAAAATATAAATGAATTCTTCTAAGTGGGCTTATGAGGATGACTGTGTAGAATTTCCCTGACAGATGGTATAGAGTAGGTTTACTAATCAACACCTATGCGAATAAAAATGCTCAGCTGCAAAATGAGATGGCAGTCAAGAAATCAGTTTTTTTTTTTTTTTTTTTTTTTAAAGGTGGAGGCCAAGGAGGGAAGGATAATTACATGCATGGTGGCAGGAGTGGTTAAGGTGGTGTGGTTAAGGTGGTGCCATCTGTCACAGCAGACCTCCCACCCCAGCTCGGGGAAGGTGTTGCAGAGTGGTCAGTGGTGTCAGGGTTACTGATGTGCAGCTCAGTGAGAATGGCTGTGGCTGCAGAGGACTCGCTCTTGCAGCGGAGGAGAGCTCGCCCAGGCAGTGCTCTTCAGGGTGAGCCTGCACCGTGGGTGTGCACAAGGCTCTCGGGAGCTAGGAGAGGGTGTTTCTATAAACGACGTGAAAGGCTCTGGGGTTTATGCAGGCATGAAGACCCCAAATCATCAGATGATGGCAGGCTAAGTGATGGCAGGCTGGAGGCACTGCCTGGTGAGACAGTCGATTGGTTAAAAGGTACCACAGAAGAAGGGCAGGAAGAAGAGGCTTGTGGTGTGGTTTGTCTGTGTCTAGGAAGCATTTACCTCCAACACTTTGGCAGTTAAGTTCTGATTTCCCAGCTGAGTTTGAGGAAAAAATAATAAGAGGAGATATAAATTATCCAATTAATAAACACATCTCTTTTTGCAATGTGGCATAAAAGGCAAAGCATTGGTTTTATTTGCAAGCACTTTGAGGAAATACGGTCCGTTCGGATGGATTAAGTGCCAACACCATGGTACAGAAAAAGCACAAGACCATGAAGAAAATGAATTCAGTCAGTGTTTTTTGGAAACAAGACCAGTTTTCACACAGCACTGCAATGTAATTTTGGGTAGGGGCTTGAAAATTTTGGCATAATGGATTTTTTTCCTCAGTTTTACTTTTTATACTTGACAGTGAAATGGTATCAGATTGTCGAATGGTCAGCGGAATTAGTTTGCCCTTCACTAAAAAATTGTTGTAGAATATTTCTCCCTGCTGGCTGCCCCCTGCCAACATGTTCCTAGAATATAAATTTAGTTTGCCTCAGTTTTTCCTGACTTAGGGATCTAAATATTGACCAAACTAAAATCAACTAAGTGGAAGGGGTATTTTGTTTCTTTTCCATTCATTGATATTTTTCTTTGATTTCAATACAAAATACTAAAAGAATTGAATTTAAAAATATCCTAGCAGTGCAAATAGAGGTATCTATGTGTGAAAATAAAGTGAAAACACAAAGCAGCCACTGGTAATAGTTAGAATATGTCCTAGTAGGTTAGAACTACTGCTGGTGTTAAATCTTAGGTAAAGGAGAAAGAAACTGAAGGAGAAAGAAAAGGTTAAATACCTCTAAGACTATATACAACCCAAGAGGCTAAACATGGTGGAAGGATTGTTTGTAGAAGGAAAACAGAAGATGGTCTATTAAAAGTTTTTGTAGTCACCTATTATAGCCTTGATAATGACTGATCACCCATGTCAAATGTGATGATAAACATCAAACTCCATATAAGGGAATGAAATTCTGAAATAATTTTTATCCCTAATTCTCTCCACCTTCCAGAGTAGAGGTTTCTTTGGAGTGGTGCCACTTGTAAAATAGATAACCAGAAGTATTATGGGATATAAGTGCAAAGACAGGTAATGAATTAAAAGAGAACTGTATAAACTTAGAAATATCACCTAGTAGATTTAAGTGGTAACACCATTGGCCAGCCGTAATTTTCATAACACCTAATGTCATGAAGGATGTTGGGCCCATAAAAATTATAATTATTTTTTTTCTTCAGACTTTTGAGTACTTAAAAAATCCACCGTATAAAAAGGTCTGTCTGGGTTATAGATCCCTTAGAAATCTGATGAAATCTCTTGATCCTTCTCTTACGAAAAAACACCAA